AAGGGTACGAATACAATATCGTGCAAAAGTATGTAACAGGTAGAAGGAAGCGTTTCCGACCTTATAAAGTATATATATTCTTGTTCAGGATCACTAGCCGAGTCGATCTAGCCATGTCCGTCTGTCCGTCTGTCCGTCTGTCTGTCCGTATGAACGTTGAGATCTCGGAAACTATAAAAGCTAGAAGATTGGCATTTTGCATGTAGATTTTAGGAGTTCCTACGCAGCGCAAGTTTGTTTCAAAATGGTGCCACGCCCCCTCTGACGCCCACAAGCCACAAGCTGTGGCCACAGTTTTGATGCTCTTATGAAAATTTTAATTGATATGTATTTGTTTCGTCAATACCTATCGATTGGCCTAATAAAAGTTTGCCACGCCCACTCTAACGCCCAAAAACCCATTAAACGCTTAAGCCTGGCTAGCGCCTACATTTCCGCCTTTCATGGCGCCATCTAACGGATGACTTTGGAACAGCTGGCGAAGGTGCTAATTCGAGCGGCATATTTATATTAAGTTGTTTAGCTGAGTAACGGGTATCTAATAGTCGAGGCACTCGACTATAGCGTTCTCTCTTGTTTTTTTATTAACTTCATTATAGTATTCAGTAACTGTCATTCTACCTTGTCTAAGGATACTTAATTCGGACTCAAGAATATGGATTGGTCGTTTATCACTATATATAAAATCCAATATAGATAAAATTCCGTAAAAATTTAGAACAGTGCCATGATTGGTAAGAGCGTCGTGGGCTGATCCCATGATTTTATTTCGTAAAATTGTTAACGCGATAAAATACTGCTGACTCTGAATTTTATAAAGGCTCATTGCAGTTTCTGCAGCTTCTCTCCAACCTACGTATTGTGTTGGTTTCCCTGTGAACTTCGGTAATGATTTGATTACTTCAAGAGTGGTTTCACATTTTATATTTGGGTCAACTTCTTGAATTTTATAGTCCTCTACTATGTTTGCGTCTGTTGCTAACTTTTCTTCCAAACCATCTATTTTTTTGCTTACTTCGCTCAATTGAACATTAATTAATCTGTTAATTAATACCACAGTTAGGTTACTGGCTGTGGCTAAACCACCTGCAGAAAAATTAGATGAACTTCCAGTTGCCATTGTTAAATTTAATTCACCGAAACTATCTATTAAATTTTCCAGATTGTTCTTTTTTATTCTCACTGTTATTTTATAAAAAATTTGCTTGTCTTAAATTAATTTTCTATTAAGCTCCTTATTTCAAATAAAATTATATTTATCCTCACGATACTGTCCGATGGGGTCTTCTTTCAATTTATGCGATGTTCTTCTTGTTGTCGATAGAGATTAAAATTTTTTACAGTGTTGGCGAGGGATTGCCCTACAGCCCTTCCTTCCTGTCAATTTTTCTTTGGTTGGTTCTTCGTTGTCTGATTATTTGCTTGTTGTTTTTGGTTGGTTTTGTAGTTTTATTTGTTTTAGCGGTTTTCGGATTTATTTTATTTTTATAGTGTTCTTGATGTTTGAGATTTAGATCTTCAGTCCACCAACTAATCAAGTTAATGGATTATTTCATTTATTGATTTCCATTACACGATCACTGTTTGGTGTTGGATGTTTTAATTTTTCCAATAAAAATTTGAGTTCTTGGCTGCGCAAGTTCCGCTGTTAATTTAACTTTGCTTTTCATTAAATTTGGCCCCATGTTGGGCGCCAATTAAATTTGATCAACCAATGTTGATTAAAAAAAATATAAATTTTATTTTTTAATTTCACTTTATTGGTGCAGACCTTAATTCACTAACTCTTTATTAAATCAAGACACTTTCACTTATTATTATTTCTTATGACCGATCCCGGTTTCAATCCGAATAAGACTGACTCCTTAATTCTAAAATCTTCTCCAACGAACCTCGGCCAGAAGCTTTTATTTTTTAAGCTTCTAGAACTTTGATTTTTGTTTAAAATAAAAGCTTATGCTGAAACTGTCGCATCTCGTTGTGAAATTAAATTATGCTGGCAGATGCTATTTTGATTGAAAATTGGAACGCAATACTTTTGGCTTTGGACGTGAGAGTTTGGCTTCGAACGGAAGCTGTTGTTTACTTTACGATAGGTTTATTTATCTTAGCAGAACGGTCAAGCGCGGCCCTCGAAGTTAATGAAAAAGGCGAAGGCGGTATCATAAACAAAGGCAAAGGCAATGTAGTTGAGATTGAATTTAAAAATTTGTTTATTAATCCCATAAGTGGAACCGTTGGATAATTGAATTTAAAAATTTGTTTATTAGTTCCATAAGTGGAACCGTTGGATAATTGAATTTAAAAATTTGTTTATTAGTTCCATAAGTGGAACCGTTTCACGGGTTGGATAACTTGTATGTATATTGAATTAAGTTAAATTAATTAGTTATATGTAATGAAATAAATGAAATAATAATGAAATAATGTTATAAAATAAAAAGAAATTTATATGAAAATTTACTGGATGAATTTTACTGATGCAAAAAAAGCGATGAAAATGTGATGAATTACTGATTAAAGAGAGATGAATTAATTAATCCGTAATTCATCACTCTTTAATCAATGATTAACTCATAGGACATGCCAATGTTAAATTCATCACTAATTTGTATGAAGATTCAGCGATTAATCATCAGCAGTGATGAATTTTTGGTGATGAAAAAGCGATTAAAAGGTGATGAACGGTACTGCAGGGTACACATACATATACGCATACATATACACATACATATACGCATACATATACACATACATATACACATGCACATTATATAACCATGGTCATATTGCAATTTGAACCGCCGTTGGATTTAACAACATTTAATTGTGTTATATTATTGCAATCACTGTCGCCCCCAGTTTTTCATTTAATTGAAACTCGAAAATTAATACTTGGTAAAATCATCCCAGTTGCTATAGATAACCAATACATAAGCCCTCATATACAAGCAGCTGCAGCGGTGCACTTTTTCGTTTTCTTTTTCGCTTTCGCTTGTCCGCCGTTAGCAACGTTGTAATTGTTTTTGGACTTTTGGTTTGGCGCGCTGACGATCAAAGTGACGCGCTACTGATTTTTTGCCGTCATTTGCAATCACCATTAATTTTGATACTTCGTGGCTCGGTATTCAATTTAAGTGGTTATCCGGGTCTTGACACTTCAAAATATTCATTTTTTTCAACCTTTTTTGTATAATAGTACAAAGTGTCAGGAATGTTGTCCGAAAATTTCAAGTCGATCGAAGCAAAACTAGGAATGGGATAAATTTAAAGCCCAGCGCGTCGAATGAGTCGCAACAGGCAATTCGGGCTCTGGCGTCGAGCAGATGCGGCACTTTAAGCGCGTTTTTTTTCAAAACCACTTTTTTGAAGTCGGTAGTCACGTTTTCTCAAAAACTATTGCACCGATCGACTTCTGCTTTTGCACACTTCCTTTAGACATGTTTTTGATGTCCTTAACGAAGGGATTTTTTATATTTTCAATTACAACTCATTTTATAAGCCACAATATGGCCAAAATTTACGTTAAAAATTACACTTTTTATGAAAAGCGATACAAAAAATGCAATTTTCAATTTAAAAATATATTTTTGGTTCAAATTTCTACACAATGTTGGTCAAACCTTATACATTAATGTACAATAAGTGAAATTTGTAAAATTGTCGTAAGATCTTTTAAAAAAATTCGGGCGGAGCCGAAGTTGATATACCCTCGAAGAATATTCTGTAAATTATATTCTCCAAAATTATTCATATGATGCATTCTTAATACTCATAAAAAATACCAACTTCCTATCTTTAAAAACACCAAAGTTATGTCATTTCCAATCGTTTAGTTATATGGCTGCTATAGGATATAGTGATATATGATTGGCCAAAAATAAAACCCATAGCAAATTCCAACTTCCTAACTTTAAAAATACTAAAGTTATGGCACTTTCGATCAATCAGTTATATGGCGGCTATAGGATATAGTCTGCCGATCCTTATGAAATTTGGTAGGTTGGATTGATTTTCCAAATATAAAACCCATAGAAAATCCCAACTTCCTAACTTTACAAACACCAAAGTTATGGCATTTCCGATCGTTCAGTTATATGGCAGCTATAGGATATAGTCGGCCGATCCCGGCCGTTCCGACTGCGTGCAAAGGAAAGAAGGGTGTGTGCAAAGTTTCAATTCGATATCTTTAAAAACTAGAGATAGAGAGACTAGTTCGCGTAGAAACAGGCAGACGGACAGACGGACATGCTTATATCAACTCAGAAAGTGATCCTGATCAAGAATATATATACTTTATAGGGTCGGAGATGTCACCTTTACTGCGTTGCACACTTTTGACCAAAATTATAATACCCTCTGCAAGAGTATAATGAGTCCAATTAAGCCAAAATCTCTTGAACTTCTTGCGGATCTTAAAAACAAGCTCAAAAACCAGTGATGAGCATCCGCCGATTAAATGATCTAATAGAAGCCGGCCAGATTCCGATTCAAGAAGTAGAACTATATTGTCGGCTAGAGATTTTAAATCCTTCAATTATTAAGGCAACTCAATTACAAGAACAGATCGAAGATTTAGATGATGGCGATGAGTTTGGAGAAGAGTTGGAAGAGCTTTCAATAATAACCAAGGCAAAAATAATGTCGCTTATCTCAGCCTTGAAGACGCCAAGCGAAAGCAAAATAATTGGATCAGCTTCTTTAGCCCCAACCCGAGCTCGACTTCCGAATTTGGCATTGCCGAAATTCAGCGGCAAATATTCGGAGTTTAAGAATTTCATTAGCCTTTTCGAAACTCTTGTTCATCATCGTTCACGAACATCCCGGCCCGCCCTGAAACACAGTTTCTGAATGGGGCAATACAGCAACTTTCGTGATGGGTCTGATCATCTCTCCTGTCGGGGTCTTCAATTTGACTGCTCGAACGAGGTTGTCCTTCCCTGGATAGGTTTCCATAAGCCGAGCGATGTGCCAAAATGCCGGTGGTGAATTGGACTCTTTTACGAGATGTTGGGTGTTGAAGTAGTCCATTTTGGACGTTGCTGCAGAGTAGTCAGATACTCCTGATGCCATTTTCTCCAGAATCCTTGAAGCATAGACTGGATGCTTTGCCAATATCCTAATCGGCCCACTGGGATATGACTCAAATCGGGATCTGGCACTGTTGTCAATGGTCGCCCAATTAAGAAGTGAGCGGGTGATAGGTAGTTGGTTTCCGTATCCGGTGTGTAGCAAAAGGGGCGTGAATTTATCACTGCGCAAGAAGTGTGCGCATCTGTTCAAAGGTGAGCGTTGAGTTTCCGGTAATTCTGCGAAGATGCAGCTTGACACAACGAACTGCCGACTCCCATTTTCCTCCCCAGTGAGGGGCTCTCGGGGGAATAAGTATTCATTGGATACCATCATCCGCTAGTGTGCTAGACACGGTGTTCTTGTGTGTCTGTGAAGAAAGCAATTCTTGCATCTCGTCGAGGGATCGCTTAGCTCCAATAAAGTTTGTGCCATTGTCACTGTAGATCTTACTGCACTTGCCACGTACCGATATAAAGCGCCGCAAGGCAGCCAAGAAGGTTTCTGTCGTCAAATCTGTGGCAAGTTCCAGGTGGATGGCCGAGGTGACCATGCCAACAAATGGGCATATGTAGCCCTTGCTGATACGTGGCTTCCGAACCTTTGCATCCTTCAGAAGTATTGGACCTGCATAGTCGCAGCCAGTATATGTAAATGGAAGCGCTTGTGTAATGCGTACGCTGCGTAAATCAGCCATTTGTTTCTGGGATGTGGGGTAGCGTTGACGAAAGCCAGCTAAACAGTCGTGGGTTATTTTGCGAATAGATTACGTGCTCCTAATATCCCGATTTTTTGCCGAACAATAACAAAAAGAGCGGAAACGCCAAGGTTCACTCGGTGCTTGTGTTCCAGTATCAGCGTTGAGATGCGGTCTGTTTTTGGTAGCAATACTGGGTGTTTTGCATCGTTTGACAACTGCGATTGGTGCAGTCGTCCGCCTACCCTCAGCAAATCGTTTTCGTCGATTATGGGTCATTGGTGACTCTGCTGTACACCACAGCAGCATATGCCTTGGTTGACGCATCCGAAAATCCGTGGAGTTCGATGTTGTCCGGGTCGTTGGCGACAAATCGTGGTAGTTGGAATGTTTGAAGGTTGTCCAGATCTGCTCTCCATTTTAGCCAGTTGTCCGCCAGTTTAGTTGGGAGTGGGTCATCCCAATCCAAATTCAAGAGCCATAGCTTTTGGAACAGGATTTCGAATTGGATTACAATGGGTGCCAAGAGCCTGAGAGGAATATCCTCGAGACGTCGGACAAGACTTGTCTCTTTGAGCAATCAGGATTTTCAGCTAGACCGACCTTGTACGTTAGAATGTCTTTTCCAGGATGCCAATATAGTCCGAGAACCTTTACAGGTGACGTTTGTGCAGGTTGTGTGTCGCTATTATCCGTTTGTATATATGGTGTATTGGATACCCATTGCCCGAGTTCAAGGTTTGCACGAGAAATCAGCTGAATCAGCTCGTTTCGGTTGTGAATTCCTCTTGATGATCGACAGCAAGTTGTTCCAGCACTCGCACAGCCAGGAATGGTGCGCATGAAGTTCCGTAGGTTACTGTGCACAATTGGAAATACTTGATGGGATCGGATGGATCTTCTCTCCAAGCGATTTTCTGGAAGTTTCTGTGTTTTTCGTTGACCCATATCTGGCGGAACATTTTTACGATATCCGTTGAGAATGCAAATTTGTACATTCGAAAACGAAGGCACACAGCGAATAGATCGCGCTGGATACTGGGACCTGTAAACACGGTGTCATTTAAAGCCTTAGCATTGGCGTCACGAAAAGATCCATCGAAAACTTCTCGTAGCTTCCGACCCAGAACTGGGTGGTGTGGTAGATAAAACTGATTTCCAGTAGCGTTTTCCTCAGGTGGCACTTCTCGCATGTGCCTCAGATTTGTGTATTCCCGCATAAAGTATACGTACTGTGTACGCAGCTGCTCGTTCTGTTGCAGCCGCCTCTCAGCCGATTTAAAGCGTTTGAGCACTCCTTGTAGAGTTTCTCCGAAATCGAGGTTTTCTGTGTTAAATGGAAGATCCACGATATACGTTTTCATCGCGACTGTGAGCTTCTCGACCTGATCATCCTCCGGATCCAATTTTGCGCTGCTTTGAACGTTTTCCAATTCCCAAAACTTCTAAAGCGTAACGCCTATGTCTACTGTTGTAGTCAGTGCAATAGCGTTGCTTGGATTTGATGTGATGAATGAAGTTATTACCCATCCGAACACCGAAGATATGGCGATAAGATTACCCTTGTTGTCGTACATCTTTCGTCCTGTAAACACCGACCATACGTGTTCGCTTCCCAATAGAATGTCAACAGGTGAGTTTGTGTTGAATTCTGTATCCGCCAACTGCAGATCCTTGAATGCCTCGAGTGCCGATGCATCGATGTTTTGGCGTTCCAGCGAAGAAGTAATTCTGCCTAGCACGTGGGCGTAGACAACCAAATGATCTTTGGAGATACGGGACTTGATATGCAAGGTGCTGCATCCCCTTGTCGTGTCTGCTTTAACCAAAGAGATTCCCGTGACCAAGATGCGTGATGCCGAACGTGTCAATGTGCTGGACAAATGTTGCTTGTTATGAATTGTGCTTTCATAAATGTCTTGAAAGGTGGGCCACTCGGTGTAGTTGCCAGAGAACCGTTTGATTTGAATTTTCGGCAATTCACTCAGATTGGAATTCGCCACATGTACCGAACTTGAATTCGCCAAAGAGACGTCATCACCAACATGAACCGGCGTGCTCGAATGAGCCTGATTTGCAGCCAGTCGCTCAAATAGTTGTTGGTTTTGTTGTAGCAAATTTACAATTGGGTCGCTGTTGGAGTGCAGACCGTTGCTGCCATTCACAATGCCTGTAGATATACTCGGTTGTAGAGCAGCACTTCTGTCCTTGAGAATTGCGTTCGCCCTTAGGTAGGCATTTCTTCGTAAATTGCGTTATCAATCTCCGGATCGACCTAACCTTCTACATCCTCGTGGAGAGCAATGCAATCGCCGAACTGGTTGAACTCCTTTCAAACTTCGTGGAGAAGTTGAATGCGTGTGGAGATCTCCGCCTGTGTTGCAGATTCCGCTTGCTCAGCCCATGAGCGACAACGTGTGATGTTGCCCTTGAGTCTGGAACGGCTTTTCACCTGAGAATCAAAGCACTTCACTAACTGTCGAAGAATCCAGCTCGAAGGACCAACAATATGGTCAGAAATAGAAAAGAGTTGAGTTGCGTATATGTGGACTGTATTAATTTTATTCTTGCCAGTTGCGAAGCCTTTTCGCAATATGACGCCGTATATATATTATATACATGTTTTCTTGTACATAGATTAAATATATAGAATAGAATGGCATTATGCGCCTATATATTGGAGATAATTAAAGCTGCAAGCGTTCACGAACAATATTTCAACATTGTTTAGTCTTCCGAAAATAACGCAACAATCAGCGTCGTCTTTAAGAAATATTATCGACACTGTATCATCTATATACGGTTCTTTGTTATCGATAGGAGACGACACCAAGATTTCGAATCCAATGTTGATCTATCTTGTTTTGAAAAGAGTAGTCCCAGTGACCAAACAAAAATGTGAAGAAGAATTAGATTATAAAAGGTTACCACTCTGGTCCGATTTTGAAAAAAGGTTAAACCGCCGATACCAGCATTTATCCACTGAAGAATCGACGAAACCAAAGCAAGATAAAATTTGTCGAGCAAGCCACATAATCGTAGCTCATTTTCTTGTTCTTCGTCCAACAGCAAATCCCAGCAAAGTTGTAGCTATTGCAATGCAGGAGACCATATCTTAGCGAATTGTGGTCCGTTTGATCGTCTTTCGGTAATGCAAAGGTTCGACTTTGTAAAATCTGTTTCCTAAAGCCTAGTACTCAGATCGACGAAAACTCAAAAAACCTGCAAAAGTCGATTGCAGGAGTTTCCATGTGAGGACAATATAACATGAATACTATCTGTGGTGCCTCTTGTCAGAGCAAGATGTTTCTTATGTCAAAATTGTACGAAAAAACATAATAAAAGTGCAGCTATGAACTTTAAATTAGCAAATAATTATCAGTAAATACAAAAAAACAACTGTTAAATTTAAATAGTATTGCTTTTTAATTTCTTTGTACAGCGGCAGACTTTTCTTGCAAAGGTAGTTGATAATTTCTTTTAAAGGCTCTTTCCCGCAAATACGATATTTGAATTTTAACTGCTTGTCAACTAACCCAGCTGATTGACAGTACGACCGTAATTTTGGTCACACTGGAAAGATTAAAGTTTTTACACTAGCAAACTCGTTTGTCGATCTGAGTACTAGGCTTTATGCATCAATTGTATGCGAAAGGATCACACTGTTTCGAAATGCAAATTTAATAAATGTCGAGTTTGTGGCCGCTCGCATCACGTTTTACTGCATAAATATAACTTGTCCGAAAATAGTTTAGCGTTGCCACCACCACAAGACATTCGTTCTCCCTCATTAAATCAAGATCAGCCTTCCACGTCACATGTTATGCATGCGACATCATTGGACAGAGTGATTTTAGCCACGTCGATCGTAAGTGTAAGAACTAAAAATGGTGAATATATTTGGGCCCGAGCACTTCTAGACTCTCTTCCCAAACTAATTTTATAACAGGGGACCCTGCTCACCGCTTACTGATCCGGAAAGAAGAGTCGTGTATCAACTTACTTGGTATTGGCACACAAAGGTTAAGTCGCGTATAATTGGTAGTGAGTTCTCTTTCGATTTTTAGGTTGCAAAACGCCGGTTTTTATCGCTTGAAAGAAGGCTGTCTCGAGACCCTGAGATGAAGAAAATGTACATAGAATTTATGGAGGAGTACCTTTCCTTAAGTCATATGTCTCTTACAGATAATTTCCTTCCGGCTTCACATTATGTTATCCCACATCAATGTTTTCTGAGACCCCAAAGTACGTCAACCAAGTTACGTCTCGTTTTCGATGCGTCTTGTAACTTGATCTGCGTACATATGTTTTATGTTGTCTGATTGACAACAACTTTTACCCTGAGCAAGGTATACATAAATAAATTAGATAAATTGATAAGTTTCATGACAATAGCTTTTATAATGCAAAAATGTCATATACAAATAGGAAAAAAAAGGGATACTTTCGCAGCCTTTAACAATTTTTCCTACGGAAGTTATAAGATATAGACGTAAATAAATAAGACTTGGAAAAATGTATAGCTTATTCACTGCGCGAAATATTACTGATCCGGATATTTGGACCGATTTCACCCTATTGCTCCTATGGGAGCTATATGATATTGACGTCCGATCAGCACGCGCTTTTACCTTGATCAAGGAATGCATAAAAAAATACGATTTGAAAAAATGTATGTCAATAGCTTATGCACTGCGCGAAATATTCTGAAAAACATCAAATTTGGACCGATTTCACCCTATCGTTCCTATGGGAGCCATAGGATATAGTCGTACGATTAGCACGCGCTTTTACATTGATCAAGGTATGCATGAAAAAATAAGATTCATGTAAAAATTAGATTTTTTAACATTTGCATTTTATTTATTGGATCTTCTCTGAATTGAGACTAACAATAAGTATATAGAATCGTAAATTAAAAAGCTATCTGACAGTCAAGGTGACTGGCGCGAAAATTTAGGGGCTCTAATAACTATTGCTGAGCTGGAAGGTCATTGCGT